TCAGCCTTCCAAGTAGCTGGAACTACAGGCGCACGCTACAATGCCTGGCTTATTTTTTTATTTATTATAGAGTTGAGGTCTCACCAAGTTGTCCAGGCTGGTCTCAAACCCCTGTGCTCAGGCAATCCTCTTGACTCCGCCTCCCAAAGTGCTGGGATTACAGGCTTGAGCCACCGCACCAGGCCTGATTGTATCTTTTTATTTGTGTTCTAATTACCTCCTCTGCCTGGAGGCCATGACCTTCCCTCAACCCCCTCTAGCATTGCTACATTAGGAAATCCAATTTGTCCTTCAAGGCCAGGGGTCCTCAAACTTTTAAAACAGGGGGCCAGTTCACTGTCCCTCAGACCGTTGGAGGGGTGGACTATAGTTTAAAAAAAAAACTATGAACAAATCCCTATGCACACTGCACATATCTTATTTTGAAGTGAAAAAACAAAACAGGAACAAATACAATATTTAAAATGAAGAACAAGTAAGGTTAAATCAACAAACTTACCAGTATTTCAATGGGAACTATGGGCCTACTGTTGGCTAATGAGATGGTCAATGTCTGGTTCCATATTTGTCACTGCTAGTCGTAACAAGTGATGCAAGTGTGCATCAGTTAGTCTAGACTGAGAGGAGGAGTCGAGAGACAGAGAGAAGGAGGGGAGTCGGAGAGTGCGAAGCACATTCCACACATGCGCACTGCGGGCCGGACGAGTCGGCTGCTAGGCAGGACAGGCAGCGGAGGCAAAAACACCCGGTGGGCCGGATAAATGTCCTCGGCAGGCCACGTGTGGCCCGTGGGCCGTAGTTTGAGGACCCCTGTTCAAGGCTATGGCTCCACCACTGAAGTATGAGTTCCTTGAGAAGCAGGGATGGGTCTCTGTCTTTTGTCTCTAGGGAGCAGTACAGTTCCTGGGATCCATGAGGTGCTCTTGGTTGCACCTTTGCATCTGTTCTGGGCTCCAATCTCCTTATGGGTAGGCAGTGTTCCTCACCTGTGTGCATCTGGGAACCTTGCCTCCTAGGCCCCAGGGTCTATCCCAGGTTAAAACTTGGAGTTGGCTTCAGGAATCTTCTGGTAATCTAATGAATAAATGTGTCTGGTTGTGCTATTAGAGGCTTGAACATTAAATGGCGGGGCAGGAATAGAGTTTTACCTGCTTTTCCCTCACTGTGCTTTGTGGAGTTCCCTTGCTCCTTCTCCTTCCCCAGCAGTAAACAATTACTGCCCCATGCCCGCCCCATCCTTCCCCAGCAGGTCTCCCTGGAGAATGCCCCCTGCCTCCTTCTCTCTCCAAGCTCGCTGGAGAGGAGGCTGCTCAGTTGGCTACACTTCTGGCTGCCGGCACCAAGAGGCAGGGTTGCTATGCCAAAGTTCCTGCTCATTCAGAAGCACCTTCTCTAGGTGTGATGGTTAATTTTAGGTGTCAATTTGATGGTGCTGAGGATGTCCAAATAGCTGGTAAAACATTATTTCTGAGTGTGTCTGGGAGGGTGTTTCCAGAAGAGATTAGCATTTGAATTGCTTGACTGAGGACAGAAGACCACCCTCACCAATGTGAGTGGTCATCATCCAACCTGTTGAGGGCCGAAGTAGAACAAAATGGCAGAGGAAGGGTGCATTTGCTTCTGTCTGAGCTGGGACATTTGTCTTCTCCTCCCTTTGGACGTTGGCAATCCTGGTTCTTGGGCCTTTAGTCTAAGACTGAGACTTATACTATCACTATCAGGCCAGTTTGATGAGTTATACTGCCAGCTTTCCTGGTTCTTCAGCTTGCCGATGGCAGACTGTGGGGCTTCTTGGGCTCTATAACCTTGTGAGCCAAAATCTCCTATTGGTTCTGTTTCTCTGAAGAGCCCTGATTAGGTTCTCCAGTGGGGATGCTCAGGCCATTCCCCATCACTTGCCTCCTGGCTGCATCCCTGTCACCTCCATGATTCCAAGACATTAAGTATCTCCTCGTAGAAGCACTGGCCCTTGGCCTTTCTCCACCCTAAGAGCTATCGTCATCTCAAAGGTGTCACAGAGAACAGGGGTGGCAAGCTGGGGACCTGTTTAATTTGGTCAGAATCATGTTTTTCAAGGACCCCTCCTTCGTGCCCCTCCCCCCATCCTGTTCATCTGTTCTCCTCACAAACCCCAGGCCCTCAGGCCTGCCCTGCTCTCCCTACCTTCTCCCAGGCTTTTTTCTTCCCGCTTCATTTTCCCATGCCTGCCTCACCAGTCGCCTCAAACCCCTATGTCTCCCTGTTCCCAGTCTTAAATGAATCTAACCATCCACCTTTAGTGGAATCAGCCTAAATGGTAAAGTTGGTTAATTATTTACTTTCCTACAAACCTCCAGAGACAGAGAGCTGGTGGCACCAAGGAGAAGTCATGCTCCTGGAAGAGTACTCTGCCTCTTACAAGCCTCTCCAGCCTCATTGCCTCCCATCCCCTCCAGCAGCCCTATGAGTCTGCATGCTGAACTCCTGGTTTTTAGTCTCCATTATTCCTTTCAGGAACCTGCACCTGTGTAACAGCTCTTCCCATCACTCATTCTCTTCCCTCAACTGACTCAAGTCTTTTTTTTGAGTCATAGTCTCACTCTGTTGCCCAGGCTGGAGTGCAGTGGCATGCTCACAGCCACTGCAGCTTCAACCTGCTAGGCTCAGGTGATCCTTCCATTTCAGCCTTCCAAGTTGCTGGAACTACAGGTACGCGCTACCACGTCTAGCTTATTTATTTTTATTTTTATTTTTTTGACTTACTGTAGAGACGAGGTCTCACCAAGTTGCCCAGGCTGGTCTTGAACCGCTATGCTCAGTCAGTCCTCTCGCCTTGTCCTTTCAAAGTGCTGGGATTACAGGCTTGAGCCACTGCACCCGGCCTTGTTCTAGATCTTAAGAATGATTGAGGCTGGGCTCGGTGGCTCAGCCTGTAATCCCAGCACTTTGGGAGGCCGAGGTGAG